TTACAGCCGAGGGTGCCAACAACAAAGTGATGGTTGATTGACAGCTCTGCTCCTCTCGTCACGCGAACGTTCATCATGAAATCGATTATGAACTTTCTTACTCGAGCTTCCCTATGCCACGTGTACTGACGCTCAAAAAGGTGTTCATAACAGACAGTCCGTTGTTTGCAGAAAACCGCAGCAGCTTCATGCCATTATTGTTGAGGTCGCTAGGGCGGTCCTTTCCAACCACGTATCTCTATTTTAAAGTACCTGTTTCAATGAAAGCATTGAAACTGTCATTAAAACGACGGATTGCGTAGTCGACCCTTTGTACAACGTCGCTTCTACTTTATCCTGAATTGACTCATGTTCTCCCTCAAAACTGAGAGCAGAAACCTGTAACAATACTACAGAATTAGCCTGTTGCAGTTTCATTCGGGAAGATGTCACTCTTCCAATGATAGGCTATGACTTCATGATTCTGTTAGCCAGGCTGAATTCTACCAGAACACCCACATTTGCATGTAGCGTGGGAAAGTCGATACGTGAATGGAATAGCTTTCAGTCTAAAGATTCAGAATTACTAGCTCAGTGGCTTCGTTAAGAGACAAGAATTCCAATTTCTTACTGTGAGTTCTCACAGTATCGCCATCCCTTCCGTGCAGCCTTTTCTCTTGCGCAATAATGGCACTGTACCGTGTGCCTTCTCGGTTCACAAAGGGTACCGACTCTTTTCCAATTGGTCTCTTCATCTCGTGTTATCGATCTTCTACGTGCTTATTCGCTCCCAGCTGCCAGAAGGTGTGAAACAAGCTCAGATCGCCGAATTTTCGCTTTGCGCCTCAGTTCACCAACAGCCGCTGCTCCCTCAGAAAACTTGAGCGTATACCGGACCAGTATAACGTTTGTAAATACTACGAGGGGCAGGTGGCTAACCTTCATGACAGACGTTGTCCCCCAACCCTACTGTTTTTCTCCAGACCCTACTGTTGGACCGGAACAGAGCATCTATTACACGTGCCAGGGCAGGAAAACAGCATTAGTCTTGGCAGTTCGTCGTCAGTCTGCTTCCTACTGGAATGTGCTAAGGAAAACAGCATCTCCCTAAATTCTGTTTCCTAATTAAAGTACAACCGTGTGAGTTCACGAAAGCGAACTGATTCGCTGTCACCGGTTTATTTTGATTGGTGGGTGAGCACGCAGAAATTTTAAATTTTCGAAAACTACGTGCATGAGAAGCGTTGTTTGGACCTCGTCGCCTTCGGCCCTTTTGTTTACACGTAAAGCTCCGTCATAATTTTGGTGAAAGGGCTCGGTTTGTCTCCGTCACTTCTCCAGGTTCGTATCATTCCCCTGCTCCGTGATATTTTAGCGCCTGCAGCACATCTACGCGACACGTCACCATTGACTTGGGTCGTGCGAGTGTATGTTCGATCACTAACGGAAATACCTCGATCTCTAGGCCAAGGTGTTCCTCAGTCTAGCTTATTTTCCAGTCCAAAAGGTGAACGATAGTATGTTCGTGTACTGGGTCACTCGAATGGGCCATTTCAAGGTCATAAAAAACAACAGCACCTAAGAGCTTATTGAAAAACTGTATTTTGGGCTATAAATCAGCGCAGTCCTAGTTCTTCTTTTTGCGTAAGCGACTACACTTCGCCATCCTACGTAAGTGCCGCGGATGACATGAAAAACTCCTTTGTTCCGGCACTTGTTCCTGTGACTCTTTGACACGTATACGTTGAGTATATTGGCATGGGTGCCACAAACCGGATCGTCCAAGACCACGTAGGGTCGCGGATCACTTCGCAATGGAATACCCTGATGTCTGGGGTTGTGGATCTTCAGCGCAAACAAAGGATGGCGCTTTATCAACAAACAATATCTAACTCTTCTGTCCGGTTTAGCCGACCCGCGATTTTTTTTTGAAAATCGCTTTACAACGTGCATAAAAACATACAAACTGTAGTGCCAACAATTAACGGCATCGTCATGACAACTCATACTTCAAACGTAACGATTGTTTACGATGCACGTTTAAAAAACTCGTCGTGGTAAAACGAGCACGGAGGCCAACCCCTCATTAGTTGCCCAGATTTGTAGTCATTGTAATGTTTTGAAAAAGCGTCCTTTGAAGTCTAGCCGTTAGCTGGTTCTTCAGGGGTGCATCCCATACCGATATTACAACGGTAGAAACCGAAGATAAGAAACTTCAGCACCATTTCTCGGCAAGCGATCCGTATATTGTATACTTTTTCGGTTATCCCGATATTGATATCGAGGAGAGATTTCATGTTCGTTATCACTATCATCATCTATCAGCTTTCGTAAGTGACCGCAGAACAAATGTCTTTCAAAGGTTATCCAATGACATTCTGTCATTTCATCCGTTGTCTGCGTACTGCCCCAATAAATTGCTTTCTTTCCCCTGACCATGTATTCTAAAGTCTTTTCACGATCCGTTTCCTGTCTCTTAAAACCCAGTCAAGAACTTTTATGACCGAACGATAACCTACTCTCCTTGCAACATGTTCGGTCCATTGCCGTTTCGATTCTCTCTTTCTTGCACTCCATGAGTACCTTCTTCCTGGTGTTCCCGGAACATAGCTTTCTTGCTGTATTGACTATCCTCTAAGGTTCTGAACAGCCCACATTTGCCTCCAAGCACAGCACTGGAAGCGCACGTTGATCAAAGATTTTCTTTCATAGGCACGGGATTTCCAACGTAAAAGTGATAGATTTTATTTTTACGTTTCAGTTGATCTTGTGCAGCTGCTTCTCTCTACCGCAGATCAGAGATCTTCTGCGAGTCAGACGTAGCTCTGCATCTCTCCAAACTTTCTTTCAAGAACTTCAAAGGTTGTAAGCTAACATATTTGCTGAACATGACTCAAGTCCCCCTTGATATTTATATTCAAGCCAGCCATGACAATGATAGTGTCATTCTTTATGTTTTTTGAGGCACTTCTAGAAACCTTGTAAACTTTAGAATATCGTCGGCAGTACGTAGGCAATGTATCGTTTTAAAGGAGGGCCAAAGAGTGGTTATTGTACCCTCCATTTAAGTCGAGTGGCATTCTCGAACCTGTAGATCGTGTTTAGGACTTAGTTGTTGATGCCGAGCTAAGATCCACGAAAATTTAAATTCAATGTCCAAAAAATACGGTCAATCTGTTCAGATTAGTGCAGCCATTTTCACTACGACTAGTCCTAATTGTCGACTCTGTTTTAGAATAAAAAATGCAGCAAAATTTCAATGCAAACCAGCGAAAGGAATTCTCGTTAAAACGACAAAGAAGCCGA